CTACCGCTCTCTCTCTCTCTCTCTCTCTCTCTCTCTCTCTCTCTCTCTTTCTTCATCACTTCGCCACAGTCTTGATTTTTCCTTTCTCCGAATCGAATCTTCCTTCTTCTTTCTCTCCAACTTCTCATATATTCGATTCTTCCTCTCTCTTTTTTAGTTTTCTTCGAGAATCGATCGAGATTGAAAATGTTGTGGATGTTTGTCGCGGATACTCAAATTGCTAATTCAATTGATTTTTTCGATTTCTTTCGATAAAAGACAAAATTTTCTTACTTTTCACGATGGATCCTCAATCCAGGTATCGCGTTACACTCGAACTTATCTCTCTCTTTTTTTCTCTTTCAAGTATATTTTTCTTCTATCAGTTAGTTTTGAGGATAAAAAAATATAGGAAAATTTTAACGAATTCGAATGAATTTTTGGAACGATAGAAGAAGAGGTGTTTCGTTTTTAATTTTTATTTCTATTTAATAGGCGGAATAAATTTGATCGATTTGCGATTCTCTTATATAAAATATGCTTTGATAAATATTCGATAGATTTGTAATTATTATTTTTCGCATCGATAATTATTATTTTTTATTTAACGTGATTCCTCAAAAACTTTGAAAACGAATTTCGGTACTCGAGTTAATTGAATTTTTGACGTGACAATCTTTCTGCATTTTGCTTTGATCACGTATTGAATATAGACAATTATCTATATTTATTTTCGATGAAGACACATTAGGAATTTTTAATAATTGCCAAAATTATTTTAATAATTGATAAAAAACTCGATCTATAATGATCGTAGAAAATATATCGTTGTAACAAATTGATTAATTTGTTTAAAATATTGTCCCTAATTTAAACGTTCGACATACAATTTTATTACTTAAAAAACGTTTAATTAAATTTTTATATTTAAATTTTATTAGACTTTGACTTTCATCTCTCTTCTCACATTTAAATTCTTCAAGCGATAAAGCGTCTAATGATTCAAATTGATCTCGAATAAGCGTTCCAGCATCAAAGAACGAATGAAATTTTAAAAATTTGATTCGAAACGAAAAAGAAATAAATTACCTATAGCGTATTGGAATTAGCGTTTTTTATGAAAGAAGATTTTAAGCTCGTTACGTGAATTTAATACTCTGCATACTTACACGTTCTCAAAGTGTATGCGGGAGTCGAGAAGTCATAAATCTCGACATCAAAATCGATCGATTACGGCTCGTTTTTTATTAGGGTAAAGTAAGGAGAAATCTTTCCGTATTTCATTTCTCATGGGGCGAATATAAATATAGAATTAAGTAAATTTGTTACTCACTCGGATAAACTAATAACGGGTTTGTATCCGGCTTCTTGATGTATTTCCGTCCGTGTTCACCTGAAAGTTTAATTATTCCTTCGGTTGTGTACACGCTCGATGTTGGGTAAATTTTATAAATTCCACGAGATCATGCCAAAAGGATATCTTTTCTTTTCTCCTTTCATTTTCATCTCGCTTAAAATCGGAAACGTACTTCTCTTCCTTCCCGGTTCCTCCAATCTTTTGTTCTTCGATTATTAACCTCGAAATTCGACCGTGCCAAAATGGAACGCAAAAGAATATTTTCCCTTTCATTTATCGCTTTTATTCGCGATACAATTACAATTTTCACTTCTAACTATTACAGTTTTGATATAGAAGTAAAGTAGATAAAGAGAAAAAATTCGCTTTTTCCATCTATTCGTTTTTCTTTCTTTTCTCTTTTTCTAATCGTCTCGTCGTACATCACATCTTGTAATTTGTTTAAAATTAGATAATAATGGATCGATAACGAGGAGAGAAAAAAGGAATGACATTTTTTTTCTCTCGCAATTCTTTTCTTATTCATTTATTCGTTTATCGAGATAAAACCGATACTTTATACTTATTAGCCTTCGATCGAATATTTATATAATAATATATAATAATACATAATAATATACATTACAATTACCGATCTTTATCAATTATTGTTATGAGAAATTATTGAAAAAAGTCAATTTTGAAAAAAATTGGACGTTCCTTCGTGAAAAAGGGAAAAGTATCGACAGAATTTTGATAATTTTAAAGTTCATGCGGTGTAAATATCTAAACGTATACCGACCTGTGCGATTCTTTAGTAAATTAACGTTCGCTTCTGGTCCATATGTCATCAATGCGCCCATTATTATAATTAGAACGATTTGGATGAAGAATAGTTGGTATACTTGTTGCTTTCCGCTTGAAAAAAACATTCCCTGAAAGTGAAAGAAAGAAGAAGGAAATGAATAAAACTCGGATGAAAATGTTTATCCGTTTCGTTTTATTATTATTTAATTTTCAGAATAAAATATTATAAATGATTCGATTTAAAAATCGTGATATTTTATTATCGCAAATACGCTTAAAATGGATGAAGGAAAAAGATCGAGCATAATTATTGAAAAGTTTGAGAATCAAGAGATAGAATAGAAAAACCATTTTAATCCGTTTATAAAGATAATATTTGTAAGGCAAATCGTACGAGTAAAGTGGAAGCGATGAAGAGAGAGATTTAATGAGACGATATGATAACATTAAAGATAAAAATCTCGCAGCCCTATTGTGTCTATGAATTTGTCATCTTCTTCTAATCGATTTTATCATCTTACACTCCAAAGAAAAAACGTGACAAATAGAATTTGCACGATTCAATTATAAAATATTTACAATTTATGTCATGACGATTATTGATATTTTTCGAAAAAAATGTTCGAAAAAATAGTTTATCTCTAGAAACAGAATCGATTAAATAAAATATGGCCTTGGATGAAGTTAATTCAATTTTTTTTCGACTCGCTTTTTATGCAAAGTAGCGAGTGAGCATGCAAAAATATAATATAAGTATGAATTAGGTTAGGCATAATTTATTATGTAAAAATATCCTGGTTACATGTGAGAAATCATGATTGGATAAAAGATCCATGCATAACGATATCAAATGATTTGAACCGTACCTTTCCCATTTTGATCTAGATAACTTTGTAATACTTTTGACTAATTAGAGAAAATCCGTTTGTCCTTTTACTTTCTCGATCATCACGTAATATCCTTTCGATGAAAATAAAACTCCGCTATTGAATCGTGTTTCTCGAGATTATCTTAATTCGAACGACGATAAAAGAATGATCGTGGTGGAGCAAACATCGATGAAACGATGATCATAACGATCGCTGAAAGAAAAATCAATTCTCGTATATTATTCTATAGTTTGTACGATGTTTTATACTTTTTTTAGTTATATTTCCACTTTTATTTTGACAAACAGTTTTTATATACTCGAATTAACGCGAATAATTAATCATTTTATCGACAATTTATCTGCGTCTACTTTTTGAAACATAAAAACACAGAAACATTCGTTTCGCGATACGATTGGTACGAGTAGAAATTAAACATAGAACGGATATCTCGATATATCGGCTCGTTCGCGATATCGCTTATCCTTTTATACGATGAACGATTCAATTACATCGCGATTGATCCTGATTGACCTCGTCGTTTAAATCCCCCCAACGGATATAAGGTCTATCCCCTTATTCAACACGATTGAAGCTTGAACCGTGTTGCAAAAATAATATATAACTACGTGTATATAGAGTGTGTAATGTTTTTAAATATAGTTTAGTGTTTTTATTAGAGAATCCAATCGAAAAAGACGTTTTTCAATTTTCTAGTCCAAGATTAATCGATTTTTTATGTATGCATATTTAAAAAAGATATCGAAAAATTTAATATTACAATCAATGTCTAAAATTTTATTTGAAAATTAGTGTTAATGTTAAATTGAATATTTAATGTTAAATATATATATTTATATACAGATATATATATATATATTTATGTATAAATATATATTTATATATAATATAAATATATATATTTATGTATATTTTTTTATTTTTTAAATATACAATAGATTAAATTTTTGAAGAATTAATTTTAATTTTAATTATTTGGTAATTATTTCTAATTTGAATAATTTTTTTTATATTAAATTAATTACGATAATTTATTCTTATTATATTTTTAATCGAGGTATTATTGAAAGACTTCGATATATATAGAAATATACAGTTAAAGGATAAAACATTATATTATTCAATTTTCGCGCACTAAAGCAAATAGAGAATAATAGCATTTTAACCAATCAAAAAGCCGCTAAAACTTGGCAGCGAAACGAACTAGTGCGCATCATTGTGCGCATGTCGTCAGTCTACAGTTGAAAAGTGTAGTGATAGGACTCGTTTCGTGGATAAAAGTGCGTAATTATGTAAAATTTATATTGATAAAATATTCTATTATGGCTAATTGAACCTGATTCAAGTAATATCTGTTTGTTTACTCATTACTATATCAAAATTAAACATATTTGTGACAGATCATCGTTTGATCGAAGCATCAAAAGTGGATGGGATGGAATGTAACGCACGTTTTTTGCACACATTACGACAATTGAGAGATAATTTGACGTGTAATTTCCGTGTAAACGTAAGATTTTGTTTATTTTAATACATAATATATAATAATAGATACTTAGTTATTCAAAGGTTTTTTTGTCTTTTTATTCACACAAAAATGAAAGTAATATAATAGATAATTCGCAGATAAGATTTACACATACATATTTCTCATATATTTCTCTTCTAATTACGATTCTACGATTTAACTCGTGTGTCATTTCTGTATTTGTTTTGATTTTGAACACTCAAGTTCCCGAAATTTTAAACATTGTTTCGATTTCGTACGTCTCATTCTGTAATCGAAATTCGCGACGATTAGACGCTTTGCTTCGGGTGTGTGACTAGTTTATTACGTAATATTTATTTCATACTTATTTTTTTATTTTTTATACTATTGTTTCATTTATATATATTTGTTCGATTTAATGTAATTATATTTGATTTTTTTGAAGAATAATTCAATGAATTTTTTTATTCCGTATTTGATCATTAAAGTTAATATTGATTCGTATTATTATCTTTTAAAGTAGGATACGAGTTAGATTGTTGTTTTATTTTAGATTAAAATCAATTTAATTTTGTTAATATTTTATATATTTATTTTAAATTTTTTTTTTTTTCCATAGATATGTAACTGATTATTGAGGTTACTTTAAGCGGGAAAAGAATTTTCAATATGGACACCATGATGACAATTCACGGGAGAAGAAGTAAAGTTTAAATCGTCGTATCGAAGAAAAAGATATATGTAAGTATTTTTATATTTTATTTTAAATTACTATTTGTATACTATAGTTAGTATAATTTTTATATAATTATTGTTCTAATTATTGAAAATATCAACAAAATGATAGTGGAAAATATTTTGAAATAGTCCATGATTTATTACGTAAAACTTGAAAGAATTTTCGAATATTTTTAATATACGTTACACGATGTAACGCATAAGATGTTATTAATAACAATATCTTTTTTAACAAATATTTTATAGAAAAAAGAATACATCCCCCTTTCTCTATTTATGTAATTTTATTTCCAGATTATATTGTGACTGCGCGCAATGCGGTCAGTAGATTCAGTGCTTGTTTCGTAATAGTATTTTTAAATGTTTTCGTGCACAGTAGTTTTAAGTAAATTTAATTATAATAAATATACGCGAAATTAAAGTCAATGATCATTCGCCGATTAAAGAATACAAGGAACGCGTTAAATTAGTTTTTTATTATTTTTCTATTTTAAATATATTCATTTTCGGTAGAAGAGTAGAATCAATATTTGTGTGAAGAAAATAAGGTGATTTTATTGTTGTTGCGATTGTGAATTTGAACATTTTGCAAAATAATAATAAAAAGAGAATTTACTTGAAAATAAGTACATTTTTGTGCAAAAGGAGAACAGATGGAACGTATCATCGTTGTTAGGATAAATTTCCAATTTGTTGCAATCTTCAAAGAGGTGAGATTTAGAAAATCATTATTATTTATCATTATTATCTATTATATTATTATATAGCGATAATCATTATTATCACTGTATATAATTAATATCGATTTATAAGAAATAATATGAAAATAATTGGCTGCGATTATATTTTTCATAGATAAAAATTTTATTTATAAAGTAATGAATAACTTTCTCAGGGTTTTGGTTCTCAATGTTTTTTAAAATATATATGACCATAGGATATTACATGAATTTTTATAATGTAAAAAGCGAATCGATGCATCGATAATCTACCTTATTTTAATCTTTTTAAATCCTTTCTTTCAAACGTCATACGTAGAAGATGTTAAAATTCGATGTTAAAAGTTTCTGTGATATAAAAACACAATCGATAATTCTTGTTATTTTAACTTTTTTAAAATCTTTTATATGAAAGAAACATAAAAAAAAAATAGAAAGAGTAGTAAAACGGAGAATAACATAAACATAAAACAAAATAAAATGGAATAAAATCGCGGAGAAGTATTTTTTGGAATTTAAAGAACGATAAAATGATCTTTTTTCGTTGTCTTTTTATTTTTTTTTTTAAATTTTTTCTTCATTTCTGTTTCAAATCGCACGATATTGTTTTCGTTGGAGAGTAATGAATAAAAGGGGAAATCAATCGGCGATTGTTATTTCGCGATTAACTCGTAACCACAAGCTCGATTCTTCGTCGAATTCGAAAGGCAGTTTCTTATTGACGATGCAAAAAGCGTCACGCGATCGTCAACGAAATCGGGATCAAATGCATTAGAAATGAATCTATGCCTGAACGATATATAACGATATCGTTTATATAACGTTTTATACGAAATAACAAAACGAGACGGTTTTTTTTCAAAAATCACGTATACATTCATTTGATCTTTATCAATTTTAATTTTTTCTTTTTTTTTTTTTTTTTTTTTATTATTTATT